AAATACTATATTGCTCTGAAACTGTCCGTTTCTTGGAGGCTTCTTTCAAATAGTTTGAATGGATTTTTGACACTTAATTAACTGTTGTCTTGAAATTGCTTTGTACCATAGGAGCAAAAATGCCTGTTTTCCCTATGGGAGGAAAAATATATTTCAAAAAGAGAGGAAACTAAAATTAGGAAAATAGAAGGGAAACATAATCACACATATAAAATATTAAGAACACACATTTGCAGAGAAACTAGAAGGTGCCTCCCTTTTCCCACAGCTCTGGCAGGACTTGAAAGAAAGTTCCTCTCATCTTACTATGTTCACTCTCAGCTTGTTGTCATAGATTTGGAAAAGTGGATTTTTCCACATGTGAATTCTGCTTAACAATGTAAGATTTCCAGTTGTTTCATTTCATGTGCATGTTTTGAGTAAATTTTCATTTAACATGCATTTTACCAAGTGTTTATGGTGTTTTAAGCTTTAAGTATATTTAAAAAAAAAAAGAGCGAGAGAGAGAGAGAAAGAAATGTTCCTTTGCTCATGGCCTGTCAGAGAGACAGACGTGTATTGAAAGAATAACAGAAAATGTGATAAATGTTGAACACAGAGAATGAAGCTCTTCACGTGGCCTGTTAGGGAGAAGTGATCTTGGAAAACTTCCTAGAGGAGGAGAAGCAGTATGTGAATTTGGTTTTCAAGAATGAATAGAATATACCTGGGGGACTTCCTTGGTGGAGCAGTGGTTAAGAATCCACCTGCCAATGCAGCGGACACGGGTTCGATCCCTGGTCTGGGAAGATCCCACATGCCGCAGAGCAACTAAGCCTGTGCGCCACAACTACTGAGCCTGCGCTCTAGAGCCCTCGAGCCAAAAACTAATGAGCCCGCGTGCCACAACTACTGAAGCCCGCCCACCTAGAGCCCGTGCTCCGCAACAAGAGAAGCCACCTCAGTGAGAAGCCTGCGCACTGCAACAAAGAGTAGCCCCCGCTCGCCGCAACTAGAGAAAGCCCGCGTGCAGCAACGAAGACCCAATGCAGCCAAAATAAATAAATAATAAAATAAAAATAAAAAGTCTACCACAGCAGCAGTGGTATTGGTAAAAAAGAAAGAAAGAAAAAAAAAAGAATATACTTAGGAATTCCCTGGCATTCCAGTGGTTAGGATTCGGTTTTTTCACTGCCAGGGCCTGGATTTGATCCCTGGTCGGGGAATAAGATCCCACAAGCTGCATGGTGCAGCCAAAAAGAAAAAAGAAAAAGAAAATATATACACTTAATGGTTAGAATGGTTAAAATGGCAATATATATTTAATAAAAACATTTTTCTAAAAGCACATTGGAATTTATCCTTTAAGAATCCCACCACTCGGGCTTCCCTGGTGGTGCAGCGGTTGAGAGTCCGCCTGCCAATGCAGGGGACACAGGTTCATGCCCCGGTCCGGGAAGATCCCACATGCTGCGGAGCGGCTGGGCCCGTGAGCCATGGCCACTGAGCCTGCACGTCCGGAGCCTGTGCTCCGCAATGGGAGAGGCCACGACAGTGAGAGGCCTGCGTACCGCAAAAAAAAAAAAATTAAAAAAAAAAATTAAAAAATAATAGAAAAAAAGAATCCCACCACTCTGTTATGTAGAAACCCAAAATAGCCACCACAGAGGCCACAAGGAGAAAAACTAAGGTGCCCTGGCCAACACCTCTAGCCATCTGAGACCTTCCAGCCATTCTAATTGCCATCTGACTGAACGTGCACGAGGGAGCCAAGAAGAATGGCAGAACAGCCACCCACCAAGCCACAGAATCTTGACAAATAATAAATGGTTGTTGTTTTAAGCCACTTACAAAAAAGGAGAGAGAGAAAGAGAGAGTAGGAGTTTACTGAGTGGAGAGAGAAAGGGCAATTGAGGTTTGAGCAGGAATTACACCAGCAACTGCATTTGAGGAAAGCAAATGTATAAGGTCTTGATTCTTGCTGCCTGTCTCAGTGCAGAGGGCAATAGGAGCTCGTGTTTACAGAACACTCCCTGTGGGCCAGGCACTGTTCCAAGCGCTCTCCATGCATTATTACCTCAGTGGATGTTCACGATAACCTAGATGAGGAGACAGATACACAGAAGGCAAATCATTTGTTGAAGGCCACACAGCTAGTAGGTGTCTTTTTAAAAAAATTTTATTTGTGGCTGTGTTGGGTCTTCTTTACTGCATGCTGGCTTTCTCTAGTTCCGGCCAGCGGGGGCTACTCTTCGTTGCAGTGTGTGGGCTTCTCATCGTGGTGGCTTCTCTTGTTGCGGAGCACGGGCTCTAGGCGGGGGG